TTTCTTTATTTTCTCACATTTACCGCTTAGACCCCTATTCTTACATACAAAATTGAATAGCTGTAACTTCATTAATAGTTGTCCGAAATGAACAATTTTTAGATAGATTTGTAGAGAATTTCACATTTCACAAGTCATATTAAAAAAGAAAATGGCTAAACAGTGTTTTTCGTGTCTCACAGGCATCAGTAGTCAAAACCTAACAAAATGAAAAACCAACAAAATCGGCCCACTAGTTCCCGAGATAATCTTGGCACAGATAGGCAGACAGATAAATGGCTGAAAATGTGTTTTCGGATTCAGAGGGCTCTGAAACGTAGAGATCCGTCGAAAACCGCATGTCAGTAATTTGAACCGATCGCAATACTTTCCGTATCTAGGTAGGAAAGTAATAATTTAAAACATCTGTAGAAAATAAAGACCTTGCAGAAGGCGGCAATGGCCGTAAGAACTAACCCGGGAGGTACCATCTTTGACCACTTCACACAACACATGGCGAATGCAGATAACGTAGAGATTGTAGCAAGGACGCTCCCAGCGCTTGCGGGTACATTGAAGGAATTTGAGATCGCTGTAGCAGCTCGAGGTCTACAAATAAACGAGCAAAAGACGATTTACATAAAGAGTTCAAAACATTTCCCTCATCAAGACCGGATACTAAACATAGGCCAACACGAGTTCCCAGTATGCAGGGAGTTCAAGTACCTGGGATCACGGGCGGATCTACGGGGGGGGGGGCTTTTGGGCTGAAGCCCCCCCCAAAATGGTCAAATATAACCACGGTTTATCGAAAAAAATATTAAAAAAGTATTTCTTAAAGTATTATTGTTAGTTTAATTACATTTAAAAGGGCTTTAGGAATCACTTAAACACCATTTCATATAGGTAGTTAGTTTCTTTCTTTTTTTCCAAAGTAATTATCATTATTTTTGTGAAAAAAAAAAGATTTCGGACTGAGGCTCCCCCAAAATTAAATCCTGGATCCGCTAGTGCCTGGGATCCCTTATGACGGCAAACAATGACATAGGATGTGAGATAGGAGCCAGGATTGCTGCGGGAAGCCGATGTTTTTAGGCCATACAGCGACAACTTAGGTTTCGAAGACTATCAAGGAATGCCAGATTGACAATCTATAACACAATGATTCGTTCAGCAGTCACAAACGGAAGCGAGACGTGGATTATCTTAGCAAAACATGAGAGGGCTCTTGGAGTGTGGGAGCGTAAGATTCTTAGGATGCTTTACGAGCCTGTACGCGAAGAAGGCGTTTGGAGGTCCCGATACAATCGCGACAACTCTAAAGGGACGCAGATCTTGTTAGCGTCATTAAGGCAGGACGAATAAGACGTTAGGACATGTGGAAAGGATGGCAGCGGACCGAGTACAGAGGAAAATATTGTATGGGTGACCTGGAGGAGCAGGAAGGAGAGGAAGGCCACTACTCCGTTGGCTGGAGGATGTTGAGGTGGATTTGAGACAGCTTGGTGTCAGGCGGTGGAGGGCTGTCGCATTGGACCGAGACGAGTGGCGACGTATTGTTTAGGAGGCCAAGGTCCAACGCTGAGGAGTAAGTAGAAAATAAAATATGCTATATCATCGCTAATACTGGTTCGATTCCGATGATTTTTTTTTTGTTTTGTAGGTAATTTAATTACCTGTCAAAAGTTTTTATATAAATTTTACCGTAGAATAAATACTTAGTGAGTTAGGCCCCAAAACATTTTTCTTTTCTTTATAACTTTTTTTTCCTGGATTTTTTCGAGAATTTAAAACAAGTACAAAAATTGAAAGGGCAATAATTAAGAAAATTATATGAAAATTTCATCAAAATCTTTGGAGCCGTTTTAGCGCTACAGTCTAGATAAAAATACGTTTTTCACTTGTTACGTAGCCGCTATTGCACTGAGCATGGGATTTAGGTCACAGGCATCAGTAGTCAAAACCTTACAAAATGAAAAATAACCAACAAAATCGGTCCACTAGCTTCTGAGATAATCTTGGCACAGTCAGACCGACCAATAGCTGAAAATGTGTTTTTCGAACTCATAGGGCTCTGAAAAGTATAGATCCGTCGAAAATCGCATGTCGGAAATTTGATTCGATCGCAATACTTTCCTTGCCTAGTATAAGTAGGATAGTAATAATTATAGCTGCTTTATTTATTAGTGTCACTCTTGTCGGACTAATAATAATAATAAAATTTCGAGACACGTAATTTATTATAATCAAACAATTGAAATATACAGTCGGAAAAGGAAATGACTAGTGTCAAACAAATAAAATTTAATACATTAGAAGGCTATGAAAAACATGTGATAAATAATTGTCTTAAATTATGTTTCTTATCTTCTATAATTTTTACTTTGACTTCCCATTGTCTTCAAATACTTATTTCAGCCAAGAAGAGGGTGGAAAGTGAAAGTTGTGTGATGCGGTCATCACATCAGATTTTCTACCTGTATATTTCCTATACTTTCCTAGTATTGCGATCGGCTCAAATTTCTCATATCTTAATCTTATTTACAATGTGAAACAGATAATTTTCTAAAATAAAAAAAAATTAAAGACTTTGAAGAAATAAATTTTCAAAATTCGGCACTAAAGCCCAGTCAAGCTATTTCAACGCGGTTAATACCTTCTTCTTTCTCCGACGCTATGGCCCATGAAGGACCTTGGCCTCAACAATTTTCCTCCTATCAGACCGATCCTCTGCCACATCTCTACAATGTCTCAAACCAGTGTCCTCAGGTCTTCCTCTACATCATAGTCTAAACCTGCCTCTTCCTGTCTCTCCATCAGTACGTCCTTTCATTATTTGCTTTGGGAGTGGAAGTATTTTGATCCTTCCGATTAACATAGCCCAGTCATCTTATTCTACCTTTTTAATGCAAGAAACTATATCAGATTCCCCATATTTGTTCCTAAGTTCTGCATTGGTTTTTAAGAGGTAATGACTTTCTTCTTAGATTGTGCCATATATCCGTCTCTGAATCTTTCTCTCCTATGTGCTCAGCAACTTCTCTTGCTAGTTGGTTAGGGTCCATGCCTCACAACCATAAATGACAACAGGACGAATTATCGTATTATATACCCTTATTTAGAGGTTACAGGATATCTCTTTATTTTGGGATACCTTTCGGAACAACGAATAACATTTATTTCCGTTTCCAATTGTTTGTTGCCTATTGTTATCGATGGTTAAAATTTTTCCAAGGTACTTCAATTTAGCTACCCTTTCAAAATTGTCTCCTCTCAATAGACATCTACTTGCTGCGCCTTTTCTGAATATCATATATTTCGTTTAGAATTCGTTCATTATGAGCCCTGCCTTCCTAGCTAGTTCTTCAAATTCCGTAACTCTCTTTAAGAGCTTTATCTTGATTCTTTCCTGTTATGATCACATCGTCGTCATATGCTAGGCATTGAGTCTTTATTGTTATAAATACACCCTCCATCCTTCATTTTAGCTGCCCTCATAATCCCCTCAAGCACCATGGTAAATAACAATGGAGATAATGTATCCCTCTGTTTGACCCCTTTTTGGATGACTAAGTATGGAAACTTCTCCGTGGACCCAGAGGTGCCCATCACTCCCCCCTCAAGATCGATGGCGCAGAACCTACTTCCCTCACCCCACCCTCCTCCCAAGATACATTATTGCTGATCTTTTCTTAAAAACATAGCAAGGTAAGGTAGAATTAGAAAAACCGTAGATCATATACAATTACACTTGCTGTGGTATGTTCCATGTTTTTCTTCTTGTCCCTTACTCCGAAAACTCATAACTCCGTCGAAATTTTCCCCCCTCAAAAACCTGTCAAAATATGTTCCCTCAAACATTTTTATCGAGCAACTTGCACCATGAAATCCCCTTCTGGGCACCCCTCCCTGAACCAGTACTAAACCTCCAGTTTTGCAAGGTCGTCTACTTCTAAGCCTAAGTTTCATAGTGCGACCTAAGATCATTAAGTTTTCATAGTTTCATAGTGCAACCTAAGATCCTTAAGATTTCATAGTTTTATAGTGCAACCTAAGATCCTTAAGTTCTCATTTCTTTCCAGACTGCTTGTAATTAAGAACAGATGATGTAAATTAACGTTGCACCTGGCACTTCTCTAGCCCGTTCCTGAGTGAAGAATATACGGTCAATATAAGATCTCCTACAACAGAGCCCATTTTGATACTCACCTATAATTTCTGATGTTATCATTAACCTTTTCAATAACAAGACGGATAACACTTTTAATAATTTTAACACTAACTTATAAATTAATGAAGTAAATTTGACAATAACTTATAAAACCCATTATTTATATTGGAACAATGACAGCCTTGTACCATTTTATGATATTTCTTTTTCATACCTAATTTTCAGAATGAGATCATAAATCTCATAACAGCATCAAAAATCTTAATACCTACCTTAAATTAAATACTACTTATTTTATTTAAAAAAATAAAATACAAAATTTAAATCGAAATCGTTAAAGCCGATTTTGAGATAAATGTAAAATATAAAAATTTTAAGATATGAAGTGTCATTTTCAGTGAATCCATTATGGTGAAAAAGTTGTAGCAATATTCGAGTCATATAGTTATCTTAAATAGATAATCTAAGTTACATACTACTTATAATTTTGTTGCAATGATGTTTCCAGCACACAAAAATTTTTTGCTAATTTTTTTCATTTGAGCTAAAAATGTGAAATTCCAACTTGAAAATTTTCATGATCACAATACTTTCACTTATTATACATTTCATATATAGGTAAGTAAGTAAAACTGAATTGTTTGTCCACAATATTTTTATTCTAAAATCAACACTTACTGAAATTACAGAGCTCAATTGCAATAAAAAAAAAAAGGCAGAACCAGGTTGTGTGCAATAATATTCATACGATTATTACAATTACATAACCCAAATAGAACTAACAACTATTGTAAATATAAATTAAATTATGATGGTTGATCTCATTTGGACAGAATCTTAGTTGGATGCTGGTCAACCCATACCCAAAACTCCTAATTTTAACAGCCTAAAACTTTTATGAAGGGAACAGATAAATATATATAATAATTAATTCAGTCACATAGTGATAGGAAAGGAATTGGGGAACTCCATATGCCTGAAAGGAGATTATAGGATATGTATTATAGTCTTTACAATTATTTGTCAAAATGCAAATTGCATTTTTAATTATAGCTGTTAGTAAATCGCTATAAGGTAAAATTAGTACATAGTAAGGATAAATAGAACAATTAGAAAAATAAAACAAAGGAGGAAACAATCAACTTTTAATATTAAGGTAAAAATTACACATAAAATAATTACAGACAAAAACAGGTAACTAAAAAAAAGTGGACAAAAATACTGTCATTAATTTTCAAAACCTAAATATATACAAATAGTGTAACAGGACAGTGATCACTACCATAAACTTGATTTCTAATTACATTGTCACATAAATTGGGCATAAATCTTTCTGAGAAAATGAAGTAATCCAGTCTCCTAAGAAAAAGAGAAAAAAATATACACTATTATTAATAATTAAATTTAAAAAATCTACCAACAATTTCAAGTATATGACATGCAAACTAAAAAAATGTACCATTAAAACTATATTTGAATAAACAATTTCAATTTCTTTATAATTATTTTTTCGCTAACTTCAAAGCAAATCAACAAGATTTTTTTCAATAAAAAAGCATTTATTTACTATTTAAAGAAATAAAAAATTTAAATAATAACCATTTTATCAATACATCGTTTAAAAGAGAAGGGCACTTTTTTCCTGTTAACCAACTTAAACAATTGATATTGCCTTATATTGAAATAAGACGTCGCAGATGGTCCACAATGGCGTAATCATTAGGTTTGTAGTTTAAATGTCTGAATAGGCGAAATTTTGGCTGGTTAGTTATTAAATGCTATTAATATAGACAATAAACATTTTTTTTTCGTTACCCTTAATTGTTTATAAATCTGATATACAGTAAATAGTAATACCCAATGGAAAGTATGAGCTGTACTACACCAGAGGTGTTCAGACAAATGTGTGAGACAATAGGTGAACCCCAATTGAACCCACCAAAACAATTGGTAAGCCCCATCACCATTAAACTCCTTCTTTCAATACTATTTCATACTCAACAAGAACTCTCCAAGTTTCAGTACAAAGCAAACTACCTAGGGAACAACTTAGTTATTGAACTTCAAAATAAAGCTATTTTTCAAATAGCAGATTGAAAATTAAATAAAAAATCAAGTGCATCCATTACATCACTTTCACTTACCACTGTACTTTGAATAGAAAATTATTTTATGGCAATGTTGGGCTATTATAAAATTTGTGAAGTGTATTTTTAGCAGAACTAAGCATTAAACCTTACAGCTAAAGATCCATTCATACCATTAAAATAACACAAACCCTTTTTGTTATATCGACAGTAAGGCAATAAAAACCTCGTAATTCCATCTGTTTTTGTAAATCACGTAACTCCAGTTTCTGAGTTATATATACATAGAGAGATTTAAAAGAAAATCTTTATATTAAACCAATAATTATTATGGATTGTACTACTATTAGTTCTTAAACTCTCATTTTTTCATTGTAAAGTTTACTGAAACAGAGTTACAAGATTTCCATTGCCTATTATCGATAGGTCAAAACTATCACTAATTTAATTTTCTAAAATGTTACATGATGAACTTTCGGAATAAACCGACGATAGATACCTAATTGTTAAAATATAATATCAGATCTAGAGTTGTTAAACAACAGTACATATATTCAAATGTTTTGCAAATCCTTGAAATATTTTTATATTTCACTTCCTCTTTCATACAAGTCCAATGAAATAATTTTTTTAAACACTATCATTGCCTTTTTACAGTGGATTTTATATACTTATTTTTTTCCAAAGTTGAGCATAATTTTAGAAGTTTACATTTCGTTAGGAAATTTCATTTTATTTCCTTTAAAAATGTGGTTTCTGTTAAATAATTTTAGTTTTCAGACATTATAACTTATACTTTTTTCGTCACTTTCAATTACCTTCCACGACTTTCTATATTAGATATTGTTTTTTCAAAAATTCTCAGCTTTCCAACGATATATTATACATAAACCTTCTCACTGTGATTTCGGGAAATTAATTTCCACCTAAACAAACATTATTCCTTTTTCTTCCTTTATTCAATTATCAAATTATTTCAAAGGTTATACTTTTGCCATTACTACTAAAAATGAATGATAGTTAATTATTTAAAATAAACCAAATTAAAGGTATATTAGGAAAATAAATTTTGAACAATAAACATTAAATCCTGTTAAGTGACATATATGAGGATAAGACTTCAATGATATTAAAGAATGTTTAACTATACATTAATATACCGAGTTTAATCAATATCGTTAGAGACGTTTTTAAGAAAATTTTAAAAATGCATAAAGTCGATGATACAAAGTGACACTTCTGGGTAATCCGATTTGAAAAGAATAGTTGCTGTAACATCCCCAGCATATATCTAACTTTTTTCAGCCTTTTCAGTTTCATAAGACTTTTTGTTTTTGAGGTAGCATACACACACACACACACACACACGCACACACACACACACCATTTGCGGGACTTGGTTATATCAACTCAGGGGACTTCAAAATGTCTATTACCGTTGAAAACTCAGATTTTAAAATTTTCATGATCACAATACTTTCTCTTACTATACATTACACATATAAGTGAAAGTAAAAAAGAAGTGAATGATTTTAATATTTATTTTTTTATTTAAAAAATTAAGCAAATTATGCATAAAACTAGTATTGCAACAAGAGCACTTTTTCTAATGATTTCAAAGGTCACAAGGTAATTCTGCTGACAGGGAGGGGCAGCAGAGGTTGAAGCTCTGGAGCCCAGCCTGTCCTGGCTGGTTATATTTTTTAAATTCTAAATTTACATTAAAATAAAGTATAGGTGACATTACATGTACTATTTAATGTAACATCTTCACAAAATATTTTTGAAGCATACTTTATAAACGGTTTCATTTGCGTTTAAGTGAAAATTTAATACTTGACAAGAGTCCACAATAATTATACCCAGGGCTCTTGGTTTCTCTCTAAAGCCCTGCTGGTATGGTATGCAAAACTGAGGTTACCATTATCATACAAAAGATAAAACTTCCACTCGTCATCAATGAATTTTCCAACAGGGAAACTAAATTTTTACGACATACATCACTCTGGCACAACTGTACCATACCACCACACTTGTTAGCTGTTCATAATAATGAAAAATGATAGGTGGATCTTCTAAAGAAGTTTCTTCAAGAGGTTGAGTTTTAAAAATTATCCATTTTTTATTTTAAGAATTATTGACCACAGGTTTTAACAGACCCAAGAACATGTCAAAGTCGAAGATACACGCATAGTCCAATGCAATTATGTGGTACTTTTTCATCAGCCCGGCGGGTCGAAACCTCATTTGTTATCTATATTATCTAACGCCACGTCACATAACCTCCCTCTTCTTATATCGCCAAACCTTTCAGTTATTACATTGTTAATTTTTCAGTTATTCCCTTAATACGTTCAGTTATTAATTTATTTATTTTTGGCCCTTTTGTGTATTTTTTGTTTTTTTTTTAGTTTATTTTCATCTAATTATGAATCTTGTTATTCCCTTACTAAGAAGAGGACCCGTTCTTTGTTATTTTAAATAGCATAAAACTATTTTGCCTACCAAAATAAATAAGACGAAGTGAAAATAAATTGTACATATGTCGTTTATAGTGTTTATATTTTTTCTTTTATATGTACATTGATCTTTAAGTGTTTTTTTTATTATTTCATTAATATATATGTCGTAAAATAAAAGTATTTTTTTTGCTATTACATTTGTTTTTTTTTTTGCTGTTTACAATTTCAATAATACAATAATACGAAGATAGAAATTACGAGAAGGCTTATCACTGCCTTATCGGAATTATCAGTGTTCAAGTTATAAACATTGGCAGATAACAGTCAGTATCGAAACAGTACCCATTTCTAAAAGTGATCAGCTTAAAAAAAAGTAAATATAATGAAAACAACTTGTTTTTCAGATTCAAAAAACTTATTAAAACTATTATACCTGTATTGAAAAGAAAAAGAGCACTTACCAACCAGTGTTTCTTGATCTGGCATTATTAAAATAAGCCCAAAAAGTGTAGGCTCCAGTCAAATCGGGATAAAGATGTCGAAACGTATCAACAAAGCCTTGTTTTAAGAGTTCAGTCATACCTTCTCTTTCTTCTGGTGTAAAACCAGCATTTTTGGTGTTTGTTTTGGGATTTGCCAGGTCAATTTCTGTATGAGCAACATTCAAATCACCACAAAGTATGACAGGTTTCTTGGCATCTAATTCTTTCAAGTAATTTCTAAAATCTTCGTCCCATTTCAAACGTTTAGGTAAAGTTTTCAACCCTTGACCAGCGTTAGGAACATCTGGAGGCAAATGTTAAAATAATTGGCATACAAACTACTGATACAAATATAAATTTTAAAAATTTGAAAGGTAGCTTACAAGTAGTAACTAAATAAAATTGATCATATTCCGCTGTTATAACTCTTCCTTCAGTATCATGCTCTTTATTATTCAATCCTTTAACGACACTAATAGGTTTAATTTTGGAATACAAGGCAACACCAGCATAACCATCTTTCACTCCTAAAAATTAATTTAAAAGTCAACAAAAAGTTTTTTAAAAACTTTAACATGAAATAAAATGTTTATAAATTTACCATTAACCCAATGCATGTGATAGCCTGGAAGTTTAGCTTCAGGAGGAACTTGATCTTCACGACACTTAGTTTCTTGAAGACAAAGAATATCAGGATCCTCTTTTTTAACATAATCGATACCTCCTTTCTAAAAATATACTTAAAAAAATAAATGCTATCACGCATTAAAAAAATGTAAGAAAGAAAAGTAAAACAAATAGATCAGCTTTAAAAAAATAATGAAAATTGAGAAATGGAGGACTAAAAATACACATTTTTATGGGACTAAAATAAAAAAAAAAAAATTAAGTTTAAGACAAATCAGTAATTTTACACAAATAAGATCACACATACATTATTTACTCTTTCAAGCTATAGAAAGTTTTTTGTTTATATTAGATCTTGACCATTCAGTACAGATAGAAAGGGCCAATGTTAATGCTTAATTTTTAATACCTTAAGCCATGCACGTAATCCAGCAACATTCCAGGTTGTAATTTTAAAATTCCATTTTTCTCCATTTGGAGTTGATTTATCGCAGTCAAAATTCAGATCTTTGAGATCAGGTTTTGTAAGCTCCACTTTTGTCTTTTTAGCAGGACCCTCTTGTTTGTCTTCTTTTTTCCGTTTGGTACCTCGTTCTTTCTTATCTTCATTTTTCTTAGGTTTTGGCTTGGGTTTGGCTTTAGATTTTTTGGCTTCTGGCTCGCTATCACTGGCACTATCACTTAATTCATGATCTGGGACCTCTTCCTTTTCAACCTGTTCAATGCACCCCATATAAATAATATAATCATTATCAATTGGAATACTTCTTTAAATTTAAAACCCTTACCTTCTTTTTTCCTTTAGGAGGCATAGTATTATGAAGATACTTGAATCTAAACTGCGAATGTTCCGTGAATCTGAACAATTGCTTATTATGACCAACAGCCAATAACAAGTAATTTGACAATAACTTGTCTACAACAAACTTGTTACTGAGTATTTTAGGCGGGAAAAGTGATAAGAGTTTTCTAAACATCTAGCATCAAAACATGTTCCAATTCAAGCCTTAAGAGCGCGCTTTACTGCGGTATACTGTATTTATTGGAATATACAAAACTATTTTAAAATAAAACCATAAAAACGTTTTTCTTTAAGTGGAACTTATAAATATATTAGTGTAGCATTTTAACCGCAACCTAAACTATTTTGTCAAAAAAATAATAATTCATAAAAGATCATTTTTAAAGACTCAAATTAAAAATTTCAGGTCCATGCTTGCTCCATTACTATTATTTTGATAGTTTATGCGTAAAAATTCATAAAAGCCTATGTTTTGAGGTTCAGTGAGTAGTTTATTTTAAGCAGAAACAAGGAGCTTACAGAAGAAAAAAATAGAGGGAGAACGCAATATTAAAAGCATCAACAAGGTTACTTAGAAAACATTACTTATTATATTTTGCAATTAAAAACTTGCATAGCTTTTAAGATGTATTGAGTCTCGCTTCCAAGAGTTATATAAGTTGTGTTCAATTATGCTAGTTTCTACTATAGGCATGCTCAAACTAAATACGCTAGGTAGTGGATTAATAATTGACTGTCGTAGATATATTTAAGGAAAGTTGGTTGGAGTGTTGAGTCAAACAAATATCAAAGTTAAAATAGGTAAATAAATTATATGTATTATTATGTTTGCCGACATTTCGGTCGAAGGTTCGGGGCTTTATCAGGACTGTTCTCACGAAATGTGCCATTACCACCTTACGTGAGTACGGCACCTTCCGAGAGAACAACTCTGATGAAGACCTGGACCTTGGGCCGCCACGTCGGCAAAAATAAAAATTAATATTATTTATTTATTTTTACTGTGTTATTTGTTAGATTTACCTTACTCTTCAAATACGACAGGATTCATTTATTTAAAAAATGTAAAAAAAAAAAAAAAGTTGCTTTGTAGCAGAACCAGGGAATAAACGACATTTCTACTTCGGCCAGAATTGGTTAGTAAAGTATAGAATAACTATTAAAACCGTCCAGCTGTCCAGCTGAGTCAGTATCCGAGAAGAATAAAGCGAACTCCTCTTCCCTATTCGATAACAGCATCCTGTAAATATCGTTTGTACTATAAATAAAGAGGGCGGCATTTTTTAAGCATATGTACGTATATATATATATATATATATATATATATATATATATATATATATATATATATATATATATATATATAACAATAATAATTTTGAAAAAAAAAAGAAATAAACTAACTACATATATGACGTGGTGTTTAAGTGATTCTTGAAGTCCTATTAAATGTAATTGAACGAACAATAATACTTAAACAGATAGATCTTAATAATTTTTTCTATAAAAAATGGTCATATTTTACCATTTTGGGAGGGGCTTCAGCCCGAAAGCCCCCCCCCCCGTAAATCCACCTGTGGTATACGGCAAAAAGGGTGATGGCCGCCCAGTGATTTATTTCATGAACGGTAGCGTTTTTCTTGTTCATTAGATTCATGCACAGTCGGATCTACGGAGGGGGGGGGAGAGGGAGCTTTTGAGCTGAAGCCTTCCTCCCCTCCCCCAAAAATGGTATAATATAACCATGTTTTATCGAAAAAATATTAAAAAATTATCTCTTAAGGTATAACTGTTCGTGTAATTACATTTAATGGGACTTCAAGAATCACTTAAACACCATTTCATACCAGTGGCGGATCCAGGAATTTTCTCAGACGGGAGGGCGCACCTCTAACCGTTCTCCCACCACTACCCATCTCCCCCCACTCCTTAACTGAGTTTAGCCACGCAAAAGTCCTCTTTAAATGGTTTCAACAAAAGCAAACTTTATTTTAATTTAAAGTGAATTTTGTCAAGTATACGCTGAAGCAGTCGTTAATTATATAAATTAAATAGTTTTTTTGTTATAATTTTCCATTCAACATAAAACATGATTACATAAAAAATCTCAAAACTTTAATTCTCTACTTTCCTACTGAAAATCACCGACAGAAATCTTTTAATAGCCAAAAAATCCAGATTTATCTGATCTTTTTTATTTCATGTATTACTACGAAACAGTCGAATCAAAGCGACAAACGTATTCTTTAAGAAATTAAAGAACGTCAAATTTTGCGTCGAACGAGTACTTAAACTTAATAATTTGATTAAGTGATATGGTCAATAACAACGGTCAAAGAACGCTAATTTTTACCGACATTGACAAAATCTGAGAAATATTACTATAAATGGCCCTAGAGCTGGGAAATGAGGTTCTCTAAGAAAAAAAAAAATCTCAAAATAATTTCAGATTCCGATCAAATCGGAGACCCAATAATTAGTATCTTGCCTCATGAAAACGTTCCCAACAGCAGTTATTTTAAGAAAAGAACAACACTTTCTGATGAGAAATATACAAATTATTATCGTGACCAGTTTTATGAATCGCATGGATTCTCCAAGGAGACTATAGTTGCTGAATGTTGCAATGCGTCCAGATCTATTGGAACTGAATAAAAACTAGGTCAGGGAGAAAACTCGTATTTTCTTGTGCTCGAATAAAAGAATTTCATTTATTTAAAATAAATTTTCCCACATCATGTATTTCACCTGCGAGACTCAGTTCGGAGTCAGTAGGAACAATCTAAGGCAGGAGTACAGTCTTCGCATCTCACGGTGGCCCAAAAACTACATCACTCTTTTCATTAAATAGCTGCTTTTGGGAACTTTTTCGGAATTTTCTTTTCACCATGCAGGGGGAAGTATCGTCGCTTTTTTTTTCGAAAGTAACTATCGGTATATAATAATAATAATAATAATGATACTTTATTTCTTCTGGGACGAGCTATATTATTTATATATATATATATATATATATATATAAATAATATAGCTTTCGGGCTGAAGCACCCTTAAAATTAAATCCTAGATCCGCTAGTGGATCCATGGGATGTCTTTTTCTATTCGATCTGGGGGGCTTTCCGGCTGAAGCTCCCCCAAAAATGGTAAAATATAACCATCTTTTATAGAAAAAAATATTAAAACTATCTCTTAAAGTATTCTTGTTCCTGTAATTACATTTAATAGGACTTCAGGAACCAGTTAAACACCATTTCATATAGGTAGTTAATTTCCTTCTTTTTTTTTTCAAATTAATTATCATTATATGTATATGGAAAAAAAAAAATCTTTCGGCTGAAACCCCTCCCCAAAATTAAATACTGGATCCGCTAGTGCCAAATGGTATGTGGTCCAGCTTGTTTCCCTAATCGTTCTCAACTATTATATGTGATATTTCCAATGGTTGTTTAGGCTAGTATAGCAAAAATCGATTTAGATTAAACATTAAAATTTTAACAAGGTAGTAAGTAACCCTCAGCCTCAAACTGCTATGGCTATTACATAATTATCAAAACGAATATGAAACTCCTCTCTAGAGTCCAGATTTAAATTTAAATTAAGGCCCTAGGGCACTGTTATAAGGTAACATCTATCAATATGACATACAATGACTAGCAGAAGTTTTCATAAATGAGTAGATTGGGAATAACAATTAGGTAGCATAGAGACTCAATCTATATCACAAAAACATTTGAAATATTGTATATTATAAAACAGCATTCAGAAGAAAAGATCATTTTGAGGATTTAAAATAATCAAAAAGAAACTTAAAACTGGATAGAAATAATAAGCCTAGAAGGATTTAATAATAATGTCATATAAATATAAAGAAAAAGGGTCAGAGTCTAAATGTCCATTACCATTACTTTCTCCAATTATTCAAACTTTTTATTTTCTATCTCAGTAAAGGACACTCATAATAGAATTCAGAAAGCACATTTACACCATAACCAATAATTTCTAGAAATAATAAATGATCTAATATTAATAAATGCTTACAATTTGAAAAATAAAAATCCTCAATGATCTTATTAATTTTTAAATAACAAACCAAGTCATAAACAATATGTTTTTTCACCGAAAATTATGTGTAGTCAAAATTCTAAACAAGAGGCTTGCTTGTCAAAATACCATTAGAATAGATTAAACTTCAGTGAACAAACACCTACAAAACAATTTCGCAATTCCCTTGTTTAATTAACTTAAACATTCTGGACCACTTCAACAATGGTAAAAGTTTTAGCCATAATTTTGTATTTAAGATAAACAGAAAAAAAGGGTTACATGCATCAACTAATCACGGTAAACAATTCATGCAATGAGAGAAATACTTTATTAAAAGTAATGCTGCCCTACTACATAGGGTTGCTTCGTACACAGCATACCTATCAATCCACAAGGACATTAATTTTATATTTCATTTTTCTATTTTTTATACATATATATGTCATATCTTTCCTTTCTTTCTCTCTTTTTCCTCTTTCCTCTCATAACAATACACTTACAAGTTATCAACAATAAAACCATGTTAAATAATATACATACATTAAATAATATAAACATTTTTCCAAGAAAAAAAAAAAAAAAAAACTATTTCCCTGTTTCTCTCTTTTAAATTTTCAAACGCCAGGAACTCATTACAACATCGCACACATACATAACACAGCAATTCCCAGAGTGCAGACAAAAAGACAGGACGACAGCGGATCAATTCAAAATTTAATAAACAATTATTACCAGATGTCCTCAATCGGTATAAATATGATAGTGGATGATTCCCAGGGAGTCCAAAATAATATTTTCGGCCAATACCGCGAGCTCCCCAACATCAACACCTAGTTCTTCGAGAAAGCTCCTTGTTCTTTCCGGGATCGTTCCGCGAGACCCAAACCAGAGGCCTCTCACGGTGAACTCTCTCTCTCCGAAGGTCTCGCGGAATTTCTCTTTTAGGAAAGGGATGCATTTTTCGTATATATTCCTCTTTTCCCTTTCCACTTCACCCGCCTGATCGAGGTCGTTGCTCTCAAAGCGGACAGTTGGATCCAAGATTAGCGCTGTCCTTCCTGTTCTGGGAAACGCGACAATATCCGCATATCTTGTAGAGCCTTCACTGTCTATGCAATAGACCTCGTCAAAGCAGGTGAATTCCTTTTCTCTAAGGAGCCTCATCACCTCGAACTTTACCCTATGGTGCCGACGTGTTATGAGGAGGGA